CAAAATCAGTTCGTGCCAGAAAGGAATGGAACGTAGTATGCTAAACATTAAAAAAATGCACAAAATACGACACTCAGAAATAAGAAAAAACACCAAAGTGATAGACGCGCTGGCTTATGCCCAAACACAAAAATTCAGATGGGCCGGTCATATAGCCCGATACCTGGACAACAGGTGGACCATAAATGTAACCACATGGAAGGGCCCGCCAGGCAAACGCCGGGTAGGGAGACCCTACATGAGATGGGAGGATGATATAAGAAAGATCGCAGGAATAAACTGGCTACAGGTAGCAAAAAATAGAGAAAAATGGAAATCCTTGGAGGAGGCCTTTACCTGAGAGGGGTCCATGCAAATTAGAATTATAAGTATTATTTTATGAAATTTGGATATTATTTATTAAGTTTTATTTTTGTATATACACATTTTAGATTGTTGTAATGAATTAATGTTTATTGGTATTGATTGAATTAATTAATTAAGAATTAAAATGAGGTTTGGACTAATAATGTAATGAGGTTGTTATCTATTTGCTATTGCAATTAATCTGAATGTTATAATGAATGATTTACATAAGGTATCTGTAATATAAAAATGTAATGCAATGTTATCGATATGAATAGGATTGTTGCAAATCTAGACTGATATATTATGTGCATGGAATAAAAGACTTTTTTATTTTATTATTTATTATTATTTATTTTATTACAGATTTATTTATTTTAATTCTAATTCTGTATAGACACTGACTTAGTTATTTATATAGTATGTAAGGAGGGCGGGGGCGATTATAATAGAAACAGACGAGCGAATGCTTATTATATCCCCACTCTATAAATTATTTTAGTGTTAACAGTCTTAGACCATTTTTTTATCCTTTCTGCGTTCGCAAAGATTGTATATGCTATATAATGCTAGCTCGCTTGATATGGCGCTAGAGCATGCGAACAGTTACTTAGAACGTTCTCATAGAATTCATTAGCTGTCTATCTTTAGCTAATTATAGATTGGTCATAAGAAAAATGTTTATTATTGATAGTAGTTACCAAAACTAGTCAATATAAGTTTAATATATTTTTAAACTCACACGATTTGTATACATTATAATTATATGTAATCGGGTCTTGTTCGTGCATTTTTTTTTAAACTATTAATTTACCTCGACGTTTCGGCTACGTTACAGCAGCCGTGGTCACGAGGAGACTGGAACTGGCGGGCGTCGTCTTCTGATTTTAGTTGAGGCGTGAGGGTAATCCGGTAATAATGTTCTTAACAGATTTTCAGATGTACCCTACACTTGATTTTATTATACATAAAGGTGGCGACATACTGCACTTACGGTATCCGAGAATATTGTTCGTGGTTGTTTGCGATCGCGACACTTACACATTTTTATATCCTTGGATAGTAATGTCGTTCAGTGGAAAGGACATGAGGTGTATGTAACTCGATCCAGTAGTTTGATCCAGATGATTATAAGTGCTCTGCAATCGCGGACTTCTCCACTTGATGATTTTTGACCGCTGCTATGTGTTCTCTTACACGTTCAGCGATAGTCCGCTTCGTTTGTCCGATATATAAACTACCGCAGCTGCAGTCAATTTTATAAACGCCAGGTTTTTGGTAAGGAATACTATCCTTTGGTGATCGCAATTGGTGTGACATTTTTGATAAAGGAGTAAAAATGGTGTCTATAGAAAAATTTTCCTCAAAATGGAACCAATTTAGTCCGTTACCCCCTTAACATAGCCTAAAAATGCCCGTTGCCTGGGAACCTTTTTTTTTTTTTAATTGGCCGGCCAACAATCCTGGCCGAGCCCTACACTTCACCCCACTTTGTAGCAGGCCTTTTTAATTTCTATCTTCCCATTCATTCCAGTTCTCTCTTTTATCCTATACCTTTCATGCTGCATTCCTTTTCTTTCTTTTATTCCTGTCTTTTCCATACTTCGAGTGACCGGGTTCGCCACACCTATAACTATTGGGTTGGCACAAAAGTAATGAGACACACTAGAGAAATCTATAACATTTCCTTTTTAAAATCAATTTTTTCGATAATATTCTAGAATGTTGTAGAACATTCTAGGTACTTTTGGTGTAGGGTATATAAAGCCGCGCTCGCGATTTGTTTAGTCAGTTTGAAGAAAAATGGACGAGCGACAAGTTCGAACACTATACTTATATGAGTACTTGTTAGGCCACAGTGCGCGGGCTGCGGCTGACAATATCAACAATGCATTAGGCGCTGGAAGTACAAGCCATGCGACGGTGTCCCGATGGTTTGACCGTTTTAAATCAGGAGACAGGAGCCTTGAAAGTCAGCCACGTTCAGGGCGACCACCCGCAGTGAATGATGACAATTTGCGCCGCGAACTGCAGTTGAATCCGGATGCTACCACTCGTGAATTAGCGGAAGCACTTAAATGCAGTCACCACGCCGTGGAACACCATCTGCATGAGCTTGGTTATCGAAAAGTTTTGGCTCGGTGGGTACCGCACATCCTTACAGACGCCAATCGTGCAGTCCGTGTCGCTATCTGTCAGTCACTTTTGCTGCGACCCCCGACGTAAAGAGTTTTTGTCAGATCTGGTTACTGGAGATGAATCATGGATTTATTACGAGAACGATACACGTCGTGCTTTTTGGCTGCCTCGAGAAGAAACGCCACCAACTCAACCGAAGCCGAGTCAAAAGAACCGCCGAAAAATTCTGCTTTGCTGTTTCTGGGCTGCGCAAGGCATACTGTTTTATGAGCTATTACACAATGAAACTATAAACGCTGACAAATATTCAACCCAGCTTACCAAATTATCTGCCGCTATCAAGAAAAAACACATACCGTTTCCACATACGGATCCCATGTGACTGGTAATCTATCAATGACTCGACATGTTCCATCAATATATTAGCCAAAAGTGGCGCTACGGGGCTACCCATAGCGACACCATCAATTTGAAGGTAATGTTTGCCGCGATATAGGAGATAGCTGCCATCTAAACAGTTCCGTAATAGAACCATGTACCCTTCCGGTATATCGTTTTGTCTAAGTTTCATCCTAACAACTTCTAGACAGTCCTTAACTGGAACTTTGGAGAACAGCGACTTTGGTGAACATCAAAACTCACCATTACGTCATCCGGATCCAGTTTTGTACCATCAAGGATCTGTACAAAATGACGCGAGTCCTTCACAAAGGATGTTGTAGTGCCCACAAGCGGTTGCAGTACGGAAGCAACGTGTTTTGCCAAATAATAAGTAGGTGAGTCAATCTGACTCACAATTGGTCTCAGTGGAACGCTGGTTTTATGTACTTTCGGCAATCCGTATAATTTTGGTGGTTGCACTATCTTCGGCTTGTAAAGGTTCTCGAAGATGTCCTCGGTGAAAAGGTGTTTATAGTCCCTGATAACAGCGCGTATTTTCCTTGTAACTCTTGCAGTTGGATCGTACTATGTGTACATGTGCTATGTGTACACGCGGCTTAATACGAACACACGTAGGTATCAAACCATTATCACGACATTTTGTTAGAAAAATTGATGAAGTCTACTACGAAATGATGAAGCTACTCGCAGTGTTTTAGCAAAGGGATTGAATTTTGCTACTACCCCGAAGAGGATACCGTATGAACATATCACCAGCAGTATAGAGGAGACAATTGTTCGTAATAAGGTACCAACTGATGATGCCGACGCTTTGAGGCAAGATGTCGCCATCGTGTTACGTAGATCCAACCTAAGAGCAACGTCACGAGCGAAGATAGCTAGCTCTTAAGAACTTGAGAACCAATAAGGAACATCTCGTTCTCAAGGCCGACAAAGGCAACGCTACCGTCGTGATAAATACTAGCGATTACGACTCCAAAATACTTGCTCTGTTGCAAGATGATAACATATATAAGCCGGTATCGTACGATCCAACTGCGAGAGTTACAAGGAGAATACGTGCTGTTATCAGGGACTATAAACACCTTTTCACCGAGGACATCTTCGAGAACCTATACAAGCCGAAGATTCAATACTTGTAGCTCACTCAGGTCTAAGATAATTCGGTCTCGCCAGCGATATTTAGGCTGACCGACTGGGCGACGGCTATTTCGACCTCGATATGCTTTCTTGGCACTCCGATCTTCTCACATCCGTTCGATATATCCGACCATTGGAGGCGTTGGAATACTTTTTTTTTTATTATGTTCAACTTAGTCAAAAGCTTAGCTGAAATCAACATGAGCCGCATCTACTTGCCGTTATTTCTCCATATCCGTACATATTTAATCCATATTCTCTTCTTTCGAGAAATTCGTGCTGCCTTAAATTATCATTATTACTTTTGAATCAATAATATTTCTAAAATAAACTTATAATTTATATGTAGGCTTTCTAATGATTTTAAAAAAAAGTTTATTACCACACACAGAAATATCTGTATTTTTTTTATTATGATGATTTATGACTGTAGGACTTGTTTCATCATAAATTATCTTGGGTCATTAATCAATTTTAATTTATAATAGTTTCACTTATGATAAAAGTAATATAAACAAAATTTTCTTAGTGAATATTATTCTACGTACACAAATTAACCAACATATCACAAGTACAATTCAACTGAAGATGGGAAAAGTGGAATTATCAGAATATCTTTTATATAACTATATAGAAGAAGACCTGCAAAAGTTTTTATTGCCCTTAGATATCACACAGAATATAGTTTTATATCGCAAATATAATATTTATGATAATTTCATCACACCAAATAGCAAAACAACGTTTGCGGTTTCTGTTATTATAATAATTGCTATATATATTCTGCTATTGTTTACCGCTGAAAATAGTTTGTTCAACTATAGTCTTACACATGATGAATTCGTGGGATTTCTATTTTACGTAAGGTGTGTTGATATTCCAACTATGTTATTTACAATCTTCGTCTCTCAATTATTCTTCAACGAAGATAATGTGAGGATAATCATAAAACTACAAAACGTCATGAGGAATGTTAAATACTCTAGTCAACACATGAAACTTCTTATAAATAACAATTGGATATTTTTGGGATTCTTCGTACTGTATATGTGTGCAACTTTAGTTTGTGCCTGCTACGTATATGGTGTATCGGTTTATTTTTTAATAATCAATCATTTTTGTGTGGCTTTTTATGACTTCGTTTTACTTTATACTATTCGATTGACGATGGTACTGTGTAAAATATCTGAGCTATGGAATGAAGAATTTAAAAATTATATCAATAGTCCTCTATCAATGAGAATAGATAAAATGAAGAAATTAATTCATTTAAAGAAGATGTACGAGACCCATTACGACCTTATTGAATCATTTAATATTTTGAAGAAAGTTTCTTCAGTTTCTGTAAGTACACAATTATACCATTCTAATGAAAAATGCTTAAGAATATATATCAGTATTGCAATTGAATACAAATCGATAGATAATAATTGAATATTTTACTTCCATAGCATAATGATTTCGACTAGTAGTCATCTGATTTTCGAAATTCGAACTTCATGGTTGAGTTTGAACATTATTACTAGATTGATCCTGTAATAGTATTATTATCAATGTAAAACGTATCACGTCCTCCTAGAATATATATGAATAGGAGAAAAAGGTGCTTGAAAAATTCTGTAAAATTGAACGAACTAATATAAGTGCTATTTGTTCCCAATAATAAGTTGACCAGGTAGAATAAGTATTTGGATCTAATATTAAATAATACAAGGAACAGGTGCACTTAGTGCGTTCTCTAAATTTATTTAATGTATTCTCCGACTTTCTTATAAATGTTTCGCTATCTTCCTAAAATTGGGTCTCAAATTCCGAAAAAATATCACAAGTTTTTCCTAAATGTATTGCTAAAAAGATAAACTTGAGATTATTATGTCATAGCTTTTTTTCACATTGGATTCAATCGAAATCAGTTGTATGACAATTTATTGTCAACGTTGAGTGTATTTGATTTTATAGTATACTAGTGGACGCCCGCGACTTCGTCCGCGTGGAAGTCGGTATCCCGTGGGAGTGAGAAGTTTTCCCAGTAAAAAGTACCCTATGTGTTATTCTGATGTATAACCTATATTGCTGTAAAGTTTTATCCAAATCCGTCCAGTAGTTTTTTCGTGAAAGAGTAACAAACATCCATACATCCATACTTACAAACTTTCGCCTTTATAATATTAATAGGATAAGTATCAATATTATAGCATAAGTTTCTAACAGTAAAGTATTACTATATACTTAGCAGTCTAATTTATTTAATCCGATGCCAATGGAATAGCCGAGATTTTAAAGAGCCGTCTTTATTATCTAGCGAGATCTCAAGCACACCTTTCTTTTGCTACTAGTTCCACGTTTACGTTTCTTTTCTTCAACACAAATATTAGTATAATCAGTAAAGCAATGCGAATGTAGAATTTATTATTAAATATGAGTATTTAAATCTTGCAGATTTTAGTCAACATGATTAACAAATTTGCGACGAATCTGGTAGTGGTCCAAATAATTATTAATATGGCCAAATCTACGGGTATGAGTGGAAATGCTGAGGTAAATTATATTTATTTATGCAAGATTTAAATATTTTTAGATAAGTAATGGTTGAGTGTCTGAACCGTTCCCTCCAGGCAGTTTCCAATTAGGGTGATGCCAATCTGGTTGGGTTCAACGCCATCAAGACACAGGCGTGTCTATTCTCCTCCAAAAGGAGGCCGTTTGAGCTGGCTCCCGCATTCCGGGATGTAACCGTACCAGTCACAAACCACCTTGACCTTCTTGGTGTGACTTTATCTTCAACGCTCAATTTTGGTTCATATATTGAGTCAAAAGCTCAGCTAGCTGCGAAGAAGCTCGGTATCCTCTCAAAGGTGCGAAGGTACTTCACGCCGGAGCAGTTACTTACACTATACCAAGCGCAAGTGCGGTCCTGCATGGAATACTGGTCGCACCTTTGGGATGGTTCTGCCAAATACCACCTTGAAGCGTTGGCGACTATCGAAAGGCGCACCAAGAGGCTCATTGGAAGCTACACTATTTGGAAAAATAGATTACAAAGTTTTAAGCATCGCCGCAAAGTCGCTGGTCTATCGGTCTTCTGCCGGTCACATTTCGGCGAGTGTGCATCGGAATTACAATTAATTCCGTCGTCCTTTTTTCACTATCGTATAACCAAGGGTACTGGGAAGCGTCACCGCTTTACTGTGGAGATTCCACAAACTCGCTCCAACCGATTCGCCTCTACATTCATCGTACGAACTGCGAAGCTGTGGAATTCGCTACCAGACTCGCTGTTTCCGGACAAGTACAATCTGGGACTCTTCAATTCAAGAGTGAATCGGTTCCTTCTAGGCAAGCACGCTCCATCTTAGACCACTGCATTGCTTACCATCAGGTGATCTGTGGTTAAGTGCTTGTCTATCTAGAATAAAAAAGAAAAGAAAAGAAAAAGTAGTTTCGGAGCCTATCCTGTGCAAACAAAGAAGCAAACAATCAAATCTTTCCTTTTTATAATATTAGTATAGATTTATATGATTGAGATAAGTTAGAATTTACCCGACGTTTACTTTTCCAATTTCGATAGTTAATGAATAAATTGTTTTGACTATTTCAGACCATGATGAAATATGGAATATATTATGTATCAACACACATGGTTAAGAATATGATTTTGATATGCCTCTTAAGCGGAATATGTGAGATTTTTTATAAATTTGTTAACATGGTTAACACAAACACTTTGCTGGCATTGAAAATGGGATCTTCTATTAGTCAGTTTCATTTTGTTTATTTTTTTTAACTCACTTCAAATGCATAAATCAAAACAGTTTAGCAACAAACCGATAACAATATATTACGATCATAAATGTGTGACCTGCTACGCAAAACTTTTTGGCAATTTACGTTAAAAATTCTCAGTTTAAAAGTAAATGTCAATTGTTAACTTTAGTGAGAAGAAAACATACGATTGTGACAGTGTGTTACGTGTTTTATTAATAAACTAGCTCCCCGCCAGGAGATTCAAATTGATAACATTCAGATATTGCTTTCGTTTAATATATTAAACTAGCTATTTACATTTCGACAGGTTAAATATAAGTTTTTTAATGGTAGTTTTTCCAAATAAAGTTTTTTTTCAAAATGTTGTGTTTCATTGGGATATTAAAGATTTTAATGAAGATTTTTTTTTTCAGGTACCGATCAGAGAAAAGTATTAAAAAATTTGATGAGAGTAAACCGAATTCAATTCTCGAAGATGGTTCCGTGCTCAATGTTCACTGTAGGCGGATCATTGCCGTTATATTACGGAAGTATTGTCGCAACGTATACAGTAGTACTATTGCAATTTCAAATATTGTAATAAGAGTCATACCGATATAAATTTATTGAAGCAAATACATATAAAGTATAATATGTGTTGATATTATCATAATCATTATATCATTATTGGCCACTTATTTATATCATATGAAAAAAATGTGATGCTAATAATTAAATTGTAAAATGCTTTGAGATTTAATAATTAAAAAATCAATCGCAATTTTGTATAAGAGACAATTGGATATTCTTTGAAATTGTAATATTGAATTTTTAAATTTCAACAACGCTCTCGTATCATGATTTTGGTGACACGTCTGTTTTACTAATGTTACCAACATAAGAATGTCTTCTTATTGACATAATTTTGATTTGTACTTTTCGATTGATCTAATTGTTGTGTGTAATGACCGAACTGTGGGATGGAAGTATAGATGAGTATATCAACGATCCTATATTAACGAGAAAGAACAGGATGGAAGAATTAGCATTCTTAAAGAAAATGTACATTGTTCATTGCGATCTAATGTGCCTGTAAGTAATGTAAGAGGGCTGAGGATCCAGCACCTCTACTATGCAGAGCTGACGCACTTTCTGAATCAGAACTTAAGTTCCTACTAGCTAAATAAAATAAATATAAAGTTGGGTTGTAAATATACGTGAAAATTTTTATTGACAACAAACAAACAGATAGCAAAAGTCACACGTCACCGTCACATATTAACTTTCGAACTTTACGATGGCCAGCAACTAAATTGGATAGAACCTCCAAGAAGTAAGTATTGAACTGTTTATTTAATTTGAATTCTCCTTTCATATATTTCAATTTAATTGTATTAATGAACTAAGATCTGATTTAAGTTATAGTTTAAAAAGTGTTATATGATTTTTATTTGTAATTTTCATGTTTCAGGCAATGTTATTTCTAAATTCATGATGAACTTGGTAACCCTTCAAATACTTATCGACATTAGCCGATATAAAAATACAGTTGAAAATCGTCACAACACTCGTGTACATTCATTCTTCGCTACTACATGGCGTATCAACAGAAGGAAGGGCCAGCTATGGAAATTAGTAAAATTTGTTTAGCAAATGTATAGTCATAAGTTTCTGTTTTTCTTGTAGTTCATTAGACTTTTCTTTTATACATGTTTTTTTAATAGTATCTAACATAACCCTTCTATCTGACTTTGAAAGATAAACTGTCCTCTACTCTGGATTCTAGGGCAAGACTTCCAGTTATGGCCATTGTAAGCTTACCTAATATATAAAAAATGTTTCACAAATCACTTTGAATTTGATATTTGAACTTCACGCTACTCGTACATACATATATTTGACATGTGAAATCAATTGCGATCACGACGTCAAAAGATATTGAATGAACAACAACATTAATTTAACGGAAATAGGAATTGTCGAAGCAAGTCGATAGTTATTTGATTTCTTTAACCTTTGATTTCTACCATTGGGTATTGTCAAATGGAAAAGTTGAATACTAATTGCAATCTTTCGACAGTTATAAAGTATATAAAGTTTTGGTAAGGATATGTTTAATATACATTTAAAACCTGATGACACTCATATTTGGACGTAGTTCAAAGAGGATCCATCCCACATAATGTCACTTTTGAGATAAAGAAGATTAGAGTTTAAGCTGATGTTTGAAGTCTGAGATTGATGTAACATTTATGTGTATTATATTTTCATCTCATCGCATACCACTTACACTCTCTTATTTTAATGTAATTTATTAAAATATAAAGTATGTTTGGATTCTTTTTCATATATTTACGTTTTAATTACCTTATTCTTTCAAAACAAACTGAAAAACGATCCAAATAAAGAAATAATAGAATAATTAACGGAAAGGCCAAAATTTAATCGTATAAACTATTTATTAAAGGTTCTTTATATTTATTGTTTTAATTTTTAATGTCTAATGTATTCTGTCTAAAATTACCTTCCTACACATGAGATCAAGCAATCAATAAAAGAATTGGAGCAGTTAAATATACGATACAAGATAAGGACATTTATAAATGTATAAAGGTACTCTTAAAAACTTTAGTTAATATGCCTACATACTTAAAAAACTAAGCGCATTTTTAAGTTTTCTCTTCTTGTATTTCATATACAGCTTCAATGCTGAATATGAAACAAGAAGATCCGGTTGACCCCCAAATCCATCAATATCGTCG